AAAATCCTTAAAAAAAAAAAAAAAAAAAAGTAGACGCTATTGTACTCTCCCAAAGCGAAAAGACATGACAACAAATAACACTTTCAGGGCATGGGAGCTCCTGCCCCTGGTTGCCCTTGCGAGCTGCCTGCAGAGAACACAATGCTGAGGACAGTCCTGTGGCTTTGTGGTGTCAGTGATTCTGTTTCCAGGGACCGTTAAATATGGAATCTGGCAGGAGCTTTGTATTTATGTTCAGTGCTGTGGGAGCAAAACCCAAAACGAGTGAGAGAGTAACTCAGGACTTTCATGGTCAAAACAAACACCAGCAAAAAGGAATTACCAAGACCAAATAGTTGAAGGTCACCAGCCTCAAGTCCTGGTCACGCACTCACTTTTCATAATCGGAATTCCAGGAGCCAGTGTGGATGGCTTTAAGAGAAGGCAATATCTGTCTTTTTAAAGTTGTTTTTTCGGGGACCGGTAGGTGGTGTGGTAATTAAGGCACCGGACACCCACATGGTCAACCACAGTTCAAGTCCCAGACCCGGCAGCTTTCTTTCTCTCTCTCTCTCTGGTCAAATTGAAGAATAATGATAATATAAAATTAAATGAATAATTCCTTAAAAAAATTTTAATTGTTTTTCTCATCAGTTTTATTTTGGTTGGCAAGTGTATATATTTGAGTATCCACACGTGAAAAGGGAGACAGCTAGGGGCCACACAAGCTCTGAATCTACTAGCGAGCCTCTTACACATTCTCCAGGCATATTTGGAAAGGCCTGACCGAACAATGGCAGCCCAGCCAGTGCCCTTTCTAACCTCCCCATTGATTTGCCACAGCTGTAAAGGGGCCTCGCACTATGGCCTGACCAAAGACAAGAAGAGACGCTCACAAGATGGCTGCCCAGACGGCTGTGCGAGCCTCACAGCAACAGCACTGTCTCCAGAGGTTACAGCCGCCGCCACCATCTCCTTAATGACAGACGAGCCCGGCCTCGACAACCCTGCCTACGTGTCCACGGCGGAGGACGGTCCACCAGCAAACAGCCCGTCCGACTCCAGCCGGAGCAACCGACCAAGGAGTGAGTCAAGTGGGTGGTTGTCGGGAATGGGCTCCTTGCCTTGAGATTGCCCTCTGTGGAATACTCACTATGGAAAGTTCTAGAAATGTTGTTTTAAGGGAAATCGTTCTGGTAGTTTTGGCAGCCACCTGATATCCAATTCTCCAAAGTGAAATGAAACCACGAGTACCTCAGATCATTAAAACCGTGTAATCTGACTTGGTGAAAGGAGTCAAAGTTAGACCTAATAATTCATCGCTCCTCCTGTGTCAATATTTTCCCCGCCATACTGCTTAAGAAAAGTGCTATTATATGCAGTTCAGCCCAGAAAAAAAAATTAAGCAAGTCATATATATTTTATTGTAGACAGTTTAGAAAATGCAGATTAGCAAATTCTAAAATCCTGCCACCTCGAGATGGAATGGTTATGTTTTATTGATGTATCTTGCCAGGCACGTACATAAAAGGTGATGTCAGAGAACGCATGGCTACTGACCCTCTCCTCTCCTTTTCTTCAGCACGACCCTTTGAGCGATCCTCAATCAGAAGCAGATCTTTTAAAAAAATAAACCGGGCTTTGAGTGTTCTTCGAAGGACCAAGAGTGGAAGTGCAGTTGCAAACCAAGCTGACCAGGGCAGGGAACACTCCGAAAATACCACAGTCCCTGAAGGTAAGTGAACTCCGGGCAAGAATGGACACAGGCTGGGCTTGCAGAGTGACTTTGGGGGTGATGGCCCCCTGACCACCACCAGCTTCGTGCCTCTTCTCTTCTCAAAGCTACACGGTATCGAAGGCGTATAACTTCGTTTCTGCTCTCTCTCCCTTACGAAAGGCTCCTTATTTCTCCTATATGCAAAGTTTCCTACTACTTGAATAAAAATTATTTGCATATTTATTGCAAAAAACATTTACAAAGAAAGAGTATATGCGAGGCATTGTCCTGTGCAGTTTCGTTTGCTCTAAGAATGATAAAAGCCCATGGCTGGCATGACAGGATCCATTCAGGACTAAAAGAAAGTAGAACACTAGGGAGAGTTAAGATACAAGTAAATGACAGTGACAGCCCTGGAGGAAGGGCAGCATTGCCGAATAGCATAATGTGATCCACCATTAAGAAGCAGTCTGTGGCCTAGATGGGTGGATGGATGTTTACTGTTAACAATGCACTGGAAAGTAGTGGAGACGAGGTTATGACCAGATTAGAGAGGGTCCTACATACCACTTAGGGGGTCTCTCCTTAATTTGGGAGCAGTGAACACAGCCAGAAGCTGTTGTGAAGCCTTGTTTGGGATTAGAGTCGTGTTCAGGAAGATGAAGACAGTGACGATGTTGCATGGACAGGAGGATTTGGAGTGGGAGGGACTGGCTCTCTTCACCCATACCCAGCAGCTCCAACTCTGGAGTGGACGAGGTGCTGAGACTCAGCTAGACAGGAATCGACATCGACATCAGATTTGCAAGGCAGCAGAGCTTTCAAAAATGGTGGTAGAGCCTCGGGGCTGCAGCAACCTGCCATTAGCTTGGTCAACCCTTCTGCCATAGTCTGTCCATCCTTTTAATATCAGTAGAGAGACTAACTGCTGGGGTGACCTTGGCCAGGTTAATTACCTGCTCTGAGCTTTAGCATTTCATCGTCAAAAAAAAAAAAAATGGCAAGATAATAGTAATCAACTTCATAGAAGTTGTTAGGGCTAAACAAAACAAGATGCGTTTTTGCACTGCCTAGATTTGCCTTGCCTAGCTCACTGCCCAGCGTACAGTGAGCTCTCAGTAAATCAGGATGCCGTGCCCGTTAGTCCTTGAGTGAGGACACAATCATGAACAGATTCTTTTCTTCCCAAGCCAATACAAGTTCGGCAGTTTAAAAAAATTCCTTTAACTTTCGGAGGTCACAGGATCTCCTTGATGTGGCTCTAATCAACACTATTTATAAGTGTGACTGGATTGTGTCCTTGTAAACTGTGAAGTCTAGCATCCTCAAGTGCTGTAGGTTTGGGAGTATGGTCTTTGTAAATCTTTGGGGAAGGAGAATAGAAAGGAAAAGGCAGGAGGGAGGGAGGAATGATCACCTTCAATAACGATTTCCAAATCTTTCTTTGCTCAATAAAAAGAAACGCATGTGCGTGCGTGCGCACACACATATTCCTTTTCCTTTTAGAGAAATTTTTGCTATAGGGTGCATGCACCCACCAGAGAGACAGAAAGTGAGAAATCACCACCCAGGAGGGATGGCCACGCCACAGTCCCTTCTCCTCCATTCTCCTCTCAGCATTTCAGGCATGTACATACACCTGCCCGCCATGAGTTTGAAGCCTCTGGGTCCAGGACTCAAACCGCAGTCGACTACGGGGGAGTCCAGCAAAATAACCATTATGCCATCTGCTGATCCCTCTTGGCTCAAAATAGTTTTTTAAATTCCCATTACCAGACGTGTTCCGACAAAGGTTTATGGTACAGCCTACTTAACACAACCAGAGCAGTTGAAATAGCCATTGAGCTCAGTCACCCAAGTACTGCTGGCACCAGGAACTGACAGGTTAGGACAGCTACCCACTGCCGACCAGCAAAGCCACTCACTCACAACTCAAGCCAAGTGGAGGTTAAGGACCCACATTTACGAGCTCTTGGGCTTCATCTGGCCACTAAACTACTTAGTTAGCCAGGCTCTACAACACTTAGCCGTATCTGTATTTCTTCTGTACTGTTCCTAGAGAGTAGAGTACTCATTAGTTCATTATGCAAAATGCACCAAGGTCATGAGTTTGGAAAATAGAGTGGATTGTGCAGAACCAGGCCGGTGGTATTTGATCTTCCCAATGACATCATTAAAGGAGCTGCTCAGGGCAAAGGCAACTATCAGCAGTGACAGGAGACAGAGGTATCTCGGCTGTCTTCAGCCGTCCACACCTAAAATTAAGCCTCAGGCAACCGGGAAGGACCACTTTTCCCACTGAACCTAGTGCGGCTTAGTCCCACCATGTGGTGTCCCCTCTGAACACATCTATTCAAACCGAAGTAGACAAACGGTGTGGTCAGTGCTGGGGCCAACAGGTCGGTGGGGCAGTGCCGTGGGGACTCTGCCTGCTGTGGACACCTGACTCCAGGAACACCCAGGGGAGGGGATGAGAGTTCTGGTCATAAGAAGACCCAGGATCCACTCAGGTTCTGAGGGCCACCTCACCCGGTGACCTCCAGCAAATGACTTCCCTTCCCTCCTCAGAGCTTCAATGCCCTCCCTTGTACAAGAAAAGTTTCAGGATCACTTCAAACTGCAGGATGATGGACTAGCTCCACTTCTCCATGGGGTCTCATGGGGTGGAAGGTGGGAAGTGAGCTGTGGAAGATTTCATGGGGGAGCAGATTCCAAAGTTGAAAAGGAAAGTTAAGAGACACCAGCCTAGATGAACTCTCAATCTCTTTGAACTCTGAATTCAGCGATTCAGACAGATAGGGGAGGAGCCTTCTGAGGCCACCAGCTAGGCTTTGGCCTCTTCTGGGTCTTGAATCAGGTCTTTTAAAAACTCCTCCTTATGGATAGCAGTGTCTGGTAGTGAGGGCTGATGACTCCCCAAGCCTGAAAAGCATGGTCTTCAAGGACAAAGTGACCAGAGAGGGCAGAAGAGCAGCCTTGATGTTTTGGTCCCTCAGTCAGCAAGTGGTGAAACTGCAGTTCATTCCATGAAGACCACACACTAATTCATTCATCCTAGTCCCTCAGTGACCCTCAGGTCAAGGCCCCTGCATGTAAAGAGCAGAGCGCCCAGCCGTGAAACAGCAGGGATGTTTGCCCCAGGACTCGAGAGTCCAATGGGGAATGCAAGAAATGGACATAAAGAACAATTCAAAGAGACTGCGCGCTGCGAGAAATGGAGAGAAAGCCTCCTAGGAAATAGGATGTTCAGAGAGAATTAGAGAAAGAAAGACCAGGGTAGAGTGTAATTGGGAGGGGTCATTTCATGCAGGCCTTGAAGAAAAAGTTGGGTTTAGGTCCAGGATGAAAAACATTCCAGCCAGAGAAAGCGATTCTGGCAGAGAGGCAAGAAAGTGGAAAACACGTATGAGGAACAATGAGGAGTTTAGTTTGGCTGAAACCAAAGTTTGGCATGAAGAGTGGTTGGACATGTCCACTGGGTGGGTGTCTTAAATAAATACTGTCTTTGTCCATTTCAGTCTTTCCAAGATTGTATCACCTGATTCCAGATGGTGAAATTACCAGCATCAAGATCAATCGAGTGGATCCCAGTGAGAGCCTCTCCATTAGGCTCGTGGGAGGCAGTGAGACCCCACTGGTCCATATCATTATCCAGCACATTTACCGGGACGGGGTGATTGCCAGAGATGGCCGGCTATTGCCAGGAGACGTCATTCTGAAGGTGGAGACCATGGCTGTGGGGCTAGGGGAAGGGGTTGGATAGGAGAAAACCCTTCAGACCAAATAATTGAATGGATGGATGCGTGGATAAGTGAGTGAGGGGAAATAGGAAAACGAAGACCGTCATTTCTCATAGTTACAGTGACAGGATTCTTCATGTGAGATTTGCAGTTAGGTTGAGATCGGCTTTTGTCTCTTTTGCTTTCATTCTCCCCCTTTTTCTCTGTCTAGAAAATTTCTCTCTGTGGATCATTTCGTCTCATCTTCTTGCCCTTCTGTCTCCCTTCCACCTTGGTTCATCTTCTTCTTCCTTTCCTTTCTCCAGCTCACCCTTTTCCTCCTTCTTCCCCTGTTTCTCCTTTAATGTCTCCTTCTTAATGTATAATCGAAAACTGGAACATATATTTCGTTCCATTATTTGCAGAGCAGAGTCATGGAACATCTTGTATTTTATCTAATCACATCCACACAGCCTTCTATATCATTTTCGATAGCTTAGGGACCCTCCAGGAAAATATAAGTAATTTCTAAGCTATTTCCACCAACCGAGAGCTATCCCAAGGGAGGCAGTGTGAAGTAGAATGTCTTGGACATTACTGTCCCCCGAGGCTTGCTTGAGGAGGACTTACAGGAGGAATTTTCAGAGAAAGGGGATAAAGGCAAAGTTGTTTATCAGTCCGAAGTCAGACGTGTGCCAAAAGTGATGAGAAATCCCTCCCTGCTCATAAATTTCCTCTCCCATACTCAGATAACAGCTCGTCCCACCCGTTCTAGGCTGTCACATTATGAACTGTTTCTTTGGCAAACTAATTGGAATAAGAGGACAAACCATTGAGAGCAGTTATCGCAGAAGCCCTGGAATCCCACTGGCCTCCAAGGTGGAGTGCGAGGCCAGGCCCACTGAGCTCAGGGGAGTCAGCCGTGCAATCTGTGACACTGCACGGCCTCGCCCCGGGTCTAGGTGGAAACTGCATACGTGGTCTTCAACCAACTCTGGCAGGCAGAGGGGCTGCCCGGGCTCTATCTGGCAACCCTGACCTTCTCCTGGCCTGCGTGTGATGGGGAACTGGGGCCTCCCACCTCGGCCCCTGTGCTCACCTTTGCTTGCACAACAGGATAAGCTTTGTCCTTGCACAGGGGCCTTCCATCCCCCCCCGCCAGAGGTGGGTGACAGCATACTCGAGGAAGGCCATTTCATTGCTCCTTCCACGGCTTCTCTAGCAATCGCTGCAAGTACAATAAATCTTACGAAGCTACAGAAATTCAAGAAGGTGGTTTGTCCTCCGTGGGGCCAGAGTGCTGCGCTGTTGTGCAATTGCTTTCTTAGAGCCGGGACAGCGTAGGGCTGCAGCCTCCAGGCTGGGCCTCCAGAGCCAGAGTAATGAAAGCCAGAAAGCCTGCTGCAGCACAGCCCTGCAGCTCATTAGCAAGCCAAAGGGCAGCCAGCTATGGGATGTTGAAGTAGCATTATAAAATGACCCAGTCTTTCAAGACAAGAGCCTCGACACTTCCCCCACATCAGTTTATTCCCAACTGCACGGGTATTCTTTGTTGCCTTTTGTCGAGAACATGAGCAAAAGACCTTGTAGGTGACCACTTGGAGTCCGCACGCTCCTGCACACACACACTCGTATGTGCTTGTGTGTTCTCCCTCTCTCTGGGTCTCTTTCTCACACACACACACACACACACACACACGTACAGAGAAGAAGGGACAGAAGGTTCCAATGTGAGTGACCCAGGAGGAATAATTCAGCTGGAGTTGGGTTTTTTTGGAAAGAAAATATCAAGGCCCAGAGAGTGGTGCAACAGGTCTGACCCATGTTGGAAGGTCCTGGGTTCGTGTCTAGAGACCTGGGTGTGCACACCAGCCACATGTGTGCCCATGGTCTGGGACTGGCTGAGGACTGGCATGGGCGAGGGTGTGAGGCCCTTGCTGAGGGTGCTGTCTCTCCGTCTCTCTCTCTCTCTCTCTCGCTCAGGAAGCAATACATAAACTTTTCATAAGGAGAAGAAGAAAATGTCTGGGAAGTTGTTTTCTTTTCTCCTTTACCCTCTCTTAGGTCTTACTCCTCTCTCCTGTTACCAGCTTAAAAATAAGTTTGGCAGACAGCAGGAACAGAGGTCAGGATTTTCTGTAAATTCATTCGTGGGCCTGAGTAAGAACAGGTGGGGGAAATGGCGCCTACTCTGGAGCCTGACAAGACGTGACGGGTAACACTCAGAGCAGAAGGGACACAGGGCGAGCTGGGGGGAGAGCGTCCGGTTACCCCGGGCGAGGCCTCCCTGGCAGCGTCGTGGCAGGTGGAGCTGACCGCCCGATGGCGCCCCTCCGCAGGTCAACGGGATGGACATCAGCAACGTCCCGCACAACTACGCGCTGCGCCTGCTGCGGCAGCCCTGCCGGGCGCTGCGGCTGACCGTGCTGCGCGAGCGGAAGCTGGGCGGCAGGAGCGGACAGGCTCTGGACACCTACGGGCCCCGCGACGACAGTTTCCACGTTATCCTCAACAAAAGCAGCCCCGAAGAGCAGCTGGGAATAAAGCTGGTGCGCAGGGTGGATGAGCCCGGGGTGTTCGTTTTCAACGTGCTGGACGGCGGCGTGGCGGACCGACAGGGCCAGCTGGAGGAGAACGACCGGGTGCTGGCCATCAACGGGCACGACCTTCGATACGGCAGTCCAGAGAGTGCGGCTCATCTGATTCAGGTGGGTCACAGGTCATTCCGCAGCCCAACCAGAAATCCCCCACACGAGCAGGGAGGTCCCCTGAGCCACCCGTCCTGTCACCCTGCAGGTGACACACCATGCCTCCCTTTCAAGGAGGCAAGATGGAGGGCCAGCACTGGCAGAGCTCCTGCTCAGGTGAGAACATCACTCAAGCAAATGATGTGCTTCAGGCCCCGGACCAGCCTAGACACCACTGCCAGTCACCTGTCCTGACCACCCATGAATGCACAGGGTCATTGCCGCAGCTCACACGGTTAAGAGTGCCCCGGGGTGTCCGGCTTGGACCCAGTACGTTAGACACAGACCCAGGGTCGCTCAGACACATGCCGGTTGTGTCGAAGACATCTGGTTGTGCTGACTCGCACCACCAGCCTGGCCTACCTAAAACACGCATGCACACGCGGGTGTCCGTGTTCTGAGGAGCTGGAGGGGTGGAGAGGTGGAGCAGGTCCAGCCCTGAGGGAGGTGCTCCTTTCGCTCTGGCTCACTCTCATGCACATGGTCTGTTCAAGGAGACTTCCAGCTCCATGAGAAGCTGTGTCATGTGCCCTTTAAGGAGCCCGTGGACAGAGACCGTGAGAGGGTTGTCTGAAGCTAAGCCCTGGTCCCCATGGCTAAGGCCAGGTGGCTCGGAAAGCCCACGGAAACTCAAGTAGGAGCCTGAGAAGCTGTCTCCTAATAAGAGAGGCACACGAATTGTAGGTTATTTTGGCAAATGGGGTTTACGATAGCCTGACAGTGGTCCAAACTAATCTATTACTTCAGGACCCTGGAAAAGTCATGACGTATTTTTCTGTATTCGATGCAAAAATGCATCACGACTTTGCCAATGACCCAATACTTTTCTAGCCAGTGGGTTGTCCTCAAACCATGTATTTTGTTGACTTTGGTAGGTCATCATGAAATTTTCTTTTTTCTTTTCTTTTCCTTTTTTAAGTTGCCAGAGTACCTGTGTGCTCACCAGAGATGGGGATGAGTAGGAGAGCACCCCAAATGGGCACGGCCATGCTGCAGTCCCTTCTCTTCCATTTCTCCATCCTGTTGGGATCTGAGGCACTCACACACATGCCCCCAATGTGTTTTTTAAGCTGCCAGGGCTGAGATTTGAACCATAGTTGGCCACGTGGGAGCCAACACCCTTAACCACCAAGCCACAGAGCCAGCCAACAAATTTTCCTTTTTTAATGAAACTTTTTATTTTGAGATAATTGTAGATTAACATACTATTATAAGAAATGAAACAGAGAGATCTGTCTTCCCCAGTGTTCCTACCTTGCAAAATCATAATACATTGTCACCACCAGGTTATTGACTTTGACACAGTGAAGATACAGAATATTTCTTTCTTTCTTTCTTCTTCTTCTTCTTCTTTTTTTTTTGAGAGGGAGACTTTTTTCTATAGGGCACATGTGCTCGCCAGAGAAACAGAGAGTGTGAAATCCCCTGGGGGAGCTGGTCATGCTGCAATCCCTTCTCCTCCAGTCTCCTCTCAGGATTTTGGGTGCGCACATGCATGCAGTCTCAAACTGCTGGGTCTGGGATTCGAACTGTGGTCAGCCACATGGGAGTCCAGCACCTTAACCACTATGCCACCTGCTGGCCCCATACGGAATATTTCTAGCACCACAAAGATCCTTATAAAAATTGCCCTTTTATACTCATTCCCACTTCCCTCCCACCCTATAGGGTAGGAGTTAATATCTGGTTATGTAAGAAATCTTTGCCTACTCTAATATCTTCAAGTGTTTTCCACAATAGTTTTAGAGCTTGGGGCTTTACATTTACGTTTTTTAATCCATTCTGAGTTGTTTTTGTTAATGGTGAGAGAAGGAGTTTAGCTTCAATTTTCTGCAGGTACCTATCCAATTTTCTCAGCACTGTTTGTTGAGTTTCTGTACTATACTTCTCTACTGGATCGTCTTCTGTTCTTTGTCAAAAATCAGTTGGCTGTATGTTTCTCGATTCATTTCTGGATTCTCTGTCCTGTTCCATTGGTCTGTGTGTGTGTTTGTGTCAGTGCCATGCTGTTTTGATTATTACATTTTTGTAGCCTACTTAGAGGTTAGGTAATGAGATGCCTCCATCTTTGTTCTTTTCGCACAGTATTGCCTTGGCATACAGTGTCTCTTATGATGCCAGATTGTTTTTGTCTCTGTTTCTATGAAGCATGTGACTGGTAATTTGATAGGAATTGCATTGAATTTATATATCAATTTGGGTATGATCCAAATTCATTTATTTAAAACACAAGAAAGAATTTCTGATACAGATTGAGCATCCCTTATCTGAAATGCTTGGGATCAGCGTGTTCTGGATTTCAGAATTTCTTTGGAAGGGGGAGATTTGGGATATTTGTATATACGTAATGAGATTTCTTGGGGATGAGACCCAACTCTAAACACAGAATTCACTTATGTTTCATATACGTCTCCTACTCATAGCCTGAAAGTAATTTTATACAGTATTTCTGTATTGCAGTGTTTTGACTGCAAGCCCTTCCATGAACTCACGCCTGGGATTCTCCACTCACAGTCATTTGGCTCTGAAAACATTTCAGATTTCGGAGTGTCTCAGATTTGGAGCTTTCAGATTAGGATACTCAACTAATGTTCTTCTCCTGTTCAACATGCTGTTTAAACATGCCTTCTCTCTACTCCTCAAACATTTCCAGAACATTCTCACCTCAGGGCCAACATTCTTGTGGTCCTTTTCCTGGAAGAATCTTCCAAATATCGACATGACTCACTCTCACACTCATTCAGGTCTCTCCTCAGATGTCCCCCCCGGAAAGGTCTTCTTTGACAGTCCTACTTAGAACAGTGATCACACACACACACACACAGACACACACAGACACACACTACATAGGTTTGAATCTGTTTTTCGTTTCCTGTCAATTATTTTATTATAACCTGCCATGCTAACATGCTACAGGACGGTCTGCGTCCCAAGCGCTGAGACCAGTGCCTGGTGATAATGAGCACTGGGTGGGTATTTTTTAAATGTGTAAATAAAGTCACATCATAAGGTTGTAAATATGTAAAAAATATATTTTTCATATTAACTTCATCTTCGTTGTCAAGCCATTTACCAAAGAAGCACCAAACCTGCATTTTTTACATGCTCCTTGTCCCTAGAATACAACTTCTAGTTTTTGTCTCCTTGAATTTGTTCAGTATATTTTTATTTATTTTTTTTTTTTTGGAGAGGTTTTTGCTATAGGGTACGTGCGCTTACCAGACAGACAGAGAGAGACAGAGAGAAAGAAAGTGAGAAATCACCCCCCAGGGGGGATGGCCATGCCGCAATCCCTTCTCCTCCATTCTCCTCTCAGGATCTTGGGCACACACACGCACACTCGCGCGGCGTGAGTTTAAGCCACCAGGTCTGGGACGCGAACCGCGGTCGACTACATGGGAGTCCAGCGACATAGCCATTATGCTAACTGCTGGTCCCAGTATATTATTTTTTAAACAGTTATTTATATAATGTTATTTATTGATTGACTTTTAATTTTACTAAAGAGAGAGAGAAAGGGAAAGTGAGAAAGCAAATAGCCAGGTCCCAGACTCGAACTGTGGTCAGCCATGTGAGAGTCCAATACCTTAACCACTTTGCCATCTGCCGGCTTCTCTTCAGTAAATTATTGACTGTGCAGCTTCTACATGCTGAGTGGTAGGTGAACAAAGCTGACATGGTTCTGGCCTCACAGAGCCTAGAAAGTATCCCTACTTCTGATCTCAAATACAACCACATCAGTGTTAAGCAGGTGGTTCTAGCCTGTGTGTGCCAAAGGGTGAGAACAGAAAGCAGACCATGTTTGTGGAAACATCAATGCAGGGGAGAGGGAGAGTCTATCTCCTTCTTTTCTTCGTAAAGAAACTGCATTTTTAGCATGATTTTTCTCTCTTTCTTTAAAAACGAAAGCTGGAGGTGATTATCTGTATTTCTTCATGTTAAGCTACAAATGTAACTCCCTCCGCAGTCCAATTATTGGAACTCACATTCTTCAGATAATCTTTGCAACTGTACTTCGCAACAGGCGAGAGAAAAACTCTCTTACTCATGTCATTTGGAAAAATCTTGATTACGTATGGCATTCTGCTTTTGTAGATTAATAACAGAAGAGCCAAAAAGTTCTTTTTCCCCTGAGAAAGTTAATTTCTGAAATAAAATCTTGCCTAACAGTGGGGTTTCCTAAAAGATTCTTTTACTTACTAAACAAAGTCAATGTGCTTTATAAGCAGGAAAAATGCATACAAAAAATTAGTAAATGAAGACAAAGTTAGGAAAGAAAAACAGAACACTGGAAAAACCCAGCTGAGCAATTTCTTGCTAATTCTGAAGATCGGGTTTTATTTATGTGATACTTGTAATGCACCCCAGGCTGGGGGCATTAAACTGAATGCCCTTCAAAGGTTGAGACTCAGGTTTCCAACCACCCTTGGGCTGTGCTGTCCTGGAGCCCCTACTCCATGAATCACGTTTGCCTTACTAAGAAATTCCCAGACAACCTGTCCTTTTTGTCGTGTTTGCTCCCACACTACCGCACATTCTGCTTTCTTCTACGTTATTTCAGGGAAACGTTATTAGAGAGGCCACAACTGTTATAAATTTGACTGACTTTACACATGGTGGGGCCTAACCTCAGCTTACTCAGCGGTAGGCTGGGTTTGCCAGACTCTTGTGTTAGATCGAGAGGCAGATGCTTCTGAGAAGGAAAACCCTCAGGAGACGGAAGCCTCCAATGCAGGGCAATTGGCTTATTCAGCAACTTAGTACAACTTCATTCTTCTTCATTGTCAGTCTCTAAGGTTTTTTTTTGAGCACCGTGACTAGAATAACTTTGAAAGAGCTTTTTAGGCTGGCTCATGACCTAGTGGTTAAGGCAGCTGGATGCCATATGGCCAGCCTCTCTGAGTTGGAGTCCCGAACCCCGTGGCTTGTGGAACATGCCAGGTGCCTGTGCATGTGTGCCC